TTAAAAGACAGAAATAAAACAAATAAAACAGTAAACAAATGTCACTGTGAAATGGATCGACTAAAACAGTTCAAAACAAGTGCAAATCATTAAAGTGCTCTGTTCACACTGATAACAGCCTGTGGATAAAAACTGTTAGCGTAACGAGATGTCCTGCATCTCAGTGACCGATATCTTCTGCCAGAGGGAAGAAGCTGGAACATGGCTTTCCCAGGGTGGCCAGAAGAGTCATTAACAATCCTAAGAGCTTTGTTTAAAAGTCTGGATTTATAAAGAACCTCCAGAACAGGAAGCTCACAGCCCACGGTCCTCTTTGCAGAGCGGAGCACCTTGTTTAAAGCTCTCTTTTCTTTATCTGTGATGTTTCCAAACCACACAGACACAGAACCAACAAGTAAACTCTCAATGGTGCAGCCATAAAAGTTAAGCACAATCTTAGAGTTAGTGGTAAATTCTCTAAGTTTACGCAGAAAGTAGAGACGCTGACGAGCTTTCTTAACGACTCAGTGTTTTTAACCCATTTCAGGTTAGACAGAGTTAAACCCAGAAACTTGCTCCTCTACGATCTGCACCTGGGAGTTGTCGATTACGACAAATGAGAACTATTGCGACTGAAGTCGTAGACCAGTTCACATGACATGGAATACACAAACATGTGTATCCAGACGTACATGTAGGAAATTATCATGGACCAGAGTTTACACATGGTAAGACCAGAGTTTACACATGGTAAGAACAGAGTTTACACATGGTAAGACCAGAGTTTACACATGGTAAGACCAGAGTTTACACATGGTCAGACCAGGCTAAGTCTATGGTATATGTCATGTTTCACATTCTGAATAACAAACAGTGAGAAGAGGCGATGCTTTTATCTCCTCTCGCTCAGACGCACGTCGCCAAATGTGTTTCAGTCTCTCACAAAGACACGCCACATAGATCTAAAAAGGTCCTTCTTTCTCAGCTACAAAAACACCATTAGTCTTTAGCGGGGCCTCCTACTTGGCGTGCAGAGCCAGGGGCCGCTCCCCGGGTGAGCTGTGGGCCCGGCCCCTCGGCGAGCCGTCGGGGCCCCTTCTTCATCTCATTTATTGTCCCATTTTCCCCAAACACGTCTCCAAAGCATTAATATAAACAGTGCACGGTTCACTCACACACACAGAGAGAGAGAGACCAGAGAGAAAGACCAGAGAGAGAGACCAGAGAGAGACCAGAGAGAAAGACCAGAGAGAGAGACCAGAGAGAGAGACCAGAAAGAGAGACCAGAGAGAGAGACCAGAGAGAGAGACCAGAGAGAGAGACCAGAGAGAGAGACCAGAGAGAGAGACCAGAGAGAGACCAGAGAGAGAGACCAGAGAGAGAGACCAGAGAGAGAGACCAGAGAGAGACCAGAGAGAGAGACCAGAGAGAGAGACCAGAGAGAGAGACCAGAGAGAGAGACCAGAGAGAGAGACCAGAGAGAGAGACCAGAGAGAGAGACCAGAGAGAGACCAGAGAGAGAGACCAGAGAGAGAGACCAGAGAGAGAGACCAGAGAGAGACCAGAGAGAGAGACCAGAGAGAGACCAGAGAGAGACCAGAGAGAGACCAGAGAGAGAGACCAGAGAGAGACCAGAGAGAGACCAGAGAGAGACCAGAGAGAGATTGGAGAGAGACTGGAGAGAGACCAGAGAGAGAGATTTATTTGTGCATTTTCACGTCTCCAAAGCATTCATATAAAAGGTGCACGGTCCACTCACACACACAGGGTGAGGCATACACTGGAAGAACTCATCACAACAGGAGAGAGAGCAGAAGAGAGAGCAGGAGCGAGAGCAGGAGAGAGAGCAGAAGAGAGAGCAGGAGAATACAGAGAGTTTCCCATGATGCACTCTGTGATCATGTGACCTAGAGAGAGATCAGTGGGGTCTGGATGTGGAGAGTGTTGGTAATTAGCCCGACAGCAAAGGGTTAAACTGTTTTAAAACCAGGACCAACCCCGCAGAGAAAGACACACAAGATCATAGCTGTGTTTGGACCAGGGCTGAACCGAACCAGGAACACGACTCTCACCATCAAAGCGTACTATAAACACCATAAATATACAGGTCTAAGGCAAGTCAATGAGGCGAGAAACCCTGCCTAAATGCTCTTTTGTCTGGAGAGTACTGTTGAAAGTATGTTATATGATATGGATGGGGTGTTGCTAGCTTAACCTTGTCTCCACATGGACTAGAGGCCACCCATGGTACTGCAGCTTAAAATCACACAGGCTGTTGTGAAAATGTTCCCATAGTCCTCAATGTGAATGAAAACATCTCGTCTTCAGCTGACGAGGAACTGCAGCTTTCACATTAGTGTCAATCATTCTTTTTCTATAAATCTACAGTTTAGTGCAAAAAAACTCTCTGGTCTCTCTCTCTCTGGTCTCTCTTTCTGGTCTCTCTCTCTGGTCTCTCTCTGGTCTCTCTCTGGTCTCTCTCTGGTCTCTCTCTGGTCTCTCTCTGGTCTCTCTCTGGTCTCTCTCTGGTCTCTCTCTGGTCTCTCTCTGGTCTCTCTCTGGTCTCTCTCTGGTCTCTCTCTGGTCTCTCTCTGGTCTCTCCCTCTGGTACATCCATGGTGCCAGCCTGAGGACTCGGTCACACAAACACCTGCTCGAGCATTTTAATCATAATTGAATAAAACAAATATTTGTAAAATCAACACAATTAAGTCTCTCACAAAAACTAAACAAATAACTCTGGTCCGGCCCATGAGTGTGTAGCCGCCGCACAAACACACAAACACACACACACACACACGCACACACACACACACACACACACAGAGGCCAGCGCCACGTCCCAAGGTCGCACTCCGCCTGCACATGTTAACGATCGTCCATTTGTCGGTTAATTGCTGTAAAGATTCTACTCCATTAAAAATGTATTATCACACAATCTGTACATTACTCCTGCAGCCCCCACACCCGCAGTCACAGGGCTCTCTCTCTGGTCTCTCTCTGGTCTCTCTCTCTGGTCTCTCTCTCTGGTCTCTCTCTGGTCTCTCTCTCTGGTCTCTCTCTCTGGTCTCTCTCTCTGGTCTCTCTCTCTGGTCTCTCTCTCTGGTCTCTCTCTCTGGTCTCTCTCTCTGGTCTCTCTCTCTGGTCTCTCTCTCTGGTCTCTCTCTGGTCTCTCTCTCTGGTCTCTCTCTCTGGTCCCTCTCTGGTCTCTCTCTCTGGTCTCTCTCTGGTTTCTCTCTCTGGTCTCTCTCTCTGGTCTCTCTCTCTGGTCTCTCTCTCTGGTCTCTCTCTCTGGTCTCTCTCTCTGGTCTCTCTCTCTGGTCTCTCTCTCTGGTCTCTCTCTCTGGTCTCTCTCTCTGGTCTCTCTCTCTGGTCTCTCTCTCTGGTCTCTCTCTCTGGTCTCTCTCTCTCTATGTGTGTTTAATCATTACAGTTCATGGTTTTGTAAAGTCCTCCCAGATTAATACTGTTGTGATTTAGGGCGATACAAACTGAACGGGAACAATGTGAATATTCAACACGCCCGACAACAGTTCCCTGGGACCCACCGCTCTCTCTGCACCGGACACACACAGTACATAATGAGTACATCTGGACGGCCCCTGGTCAGCAGATGGACCGGACCGGAGCCAAAGCCGAAGAGTCCGGAAGCTCGACATAGGTGCGAACAGGTGGGGTCTGCTGGTCCTGCACCATATGGAAGCCAAGTGGGGTCAAAGCACATCTCACATGGTCTGCTTTTCCCATCCACACCCGGAGCATCACCAGCATTTTGGAATATCGGGAACAGCAGACGCCAAAACCAACAGATGTCCTGGTGCGGCTTTTGGAGGGTCCTCTGTGGGTCCCCGCTCTCCCACCGTCAGAACCATCGTCTCCCTTTGATATGTGTGTGTGTGTGTGTGTGTGTGTGTGTGTGTGTGTGTGTGTGTGTGTGTGTGTGTGTGTGTGTGTGTGTGTGTGTGTGTGTGTGTGTGTGTGTGTGTGTGTGTGTGTGTGTGTGTGTGTGTGTGTGTGTGTGTGTGTGTGTGTGGAGAAGCTTGGCTGGTGGAGCAGGGTGTGTTTATCTGCCACTGTTGGACTCAGCGGGTCTTGGACGGGATCTGAAGAGCCTCGGGGACACAGACTGGAGGTCGGAGCAGCTTTTGAGAGGCACGCCATGTTTTCCACTCGGCTGCGTCTGCTCCATGCATCAAGCATTTATCAGTACACTTCGAAAGACGGTCGATAACTTAAACCAAACTACCTTTATGGTATTGGGCGTTTATGAACATCTGCCACTTATGGACCAATGGCTCTGTGTGCGTTTGGTTTTGGTGTTTTCATCATTACATTTCTCTACCAGCCCTGTCTCCACCCGCCCAGTTCTAAACTCTCCCTCTGTCTCCACCCGCCCAGGGCTAAACTCTCCTCTGTCTCCACCCGCCCAGGGCTAAACTCTCCTCTGTCTCCACCCGCCCAGGGCTAAACTCTCCTCTGTCTCCACCCGCTCAGGTCTAAACTCTGCTCTGTCTCCACCCGCCCAGGGCTAAACTCTCTCTGTCTTCACCCACCCAGGTCTAAACTCTCCTCTGTCTCCACCCGCTCAGGTCTAAACTCTCTCTGTCTCCACCCGCCCAGGTCTAACCTCTCTCTGTCTCCACCCGCCCAGGTCTAAACTCTCTCTGTCTCCACCCGCCCAGGTCTAAACTCTCTCTGTCTCCACCCGCCCAGGTCTAACCTCTCTCTGTCTCCACCCGCCCAGGTCTAAACTCTCTCTGTCTCCACCCGCCCAGGGCTAAACTCTCCTCTGTCTCCACCCGCCCAGGGCTAAACTCTCCTCTGTCTCCACCCGCCCAGGGCTAAACTCTCCTCTGTCTCCACCCGCCCAGGGCTAAACTCTCCTCTGTCTCCACCCGCCCAGGTCTAAACTCTCCCTCAGGGTAGGTCTGGTGAAAACAGGACATTTACATTTTTACCAAAATTGTGACAAACGCCCTTAGACAAGCCCGTCCTTTGCGCTGCTGCTACATGAACAATTATCAAGCCTTTGAGTGCGTCCCGACATCACAGCCCCACGTCTTATCCATCATTTCCACGTCCGTCTTGCTGCTGTCGAGATCCGTCCACCGTGTTTTCAAGTGAACGTCCTCTTGGCAGAAGTGGAGCTCGGTAAAGACAGGCTGTGGTAGATCAAGCTCGGCTCTGACACGTGATTGGCACAGACAGGTGTATGCTGGGAAAAGAAATGAGCGTCTGAAAACCCAGAGACAAGTCGAGAAAACTTCTGTTGTGGTTTTTTTTTTTCGAAAGGTACAAAAAATGTTTCTTTTGCGCAGAGCGGGTGTGTGGACGTGGGTTTGTCTCCTCAGCTCCAGTCACATTATGCATGACAACAGCAGAGACTGAAATAAACAGGACAGAGACGATAGAAGGAGAATCACAAACAGAGGAAACAAGTCTCGCCGTCGGGTCAGACTTTTCCACATGACGGGTTCGTTACGAGACTAACTATTTTAAGGCTGCAGCGGGAGAAAGACAGGTTTGAGGTAGAAGTCCTTAAAATTCAGGAGATACAGTCACATTTGTTTGGTTTTAAAGTGATTTTACATCTTTGAAAACCAGTTCAAGAATCTGTCGGTCTCGTTGGGTAAAACTAAAGTGTACAGAAGTGTGACAGAGGAAACAAAAATTAGATTTGAATAATTATAAGCTCTATTGCAGCAGTAGCAGATGTACAGTAGGTGGATGTCTGATGAATCTGTTGCAGAGACTGAGGCCGGCGTGGATCATGCAGTAAAACTAGATTCTTTACAAATACAAATTTCAATAGAACCTAATAAAGAAACGTCCTTGATCACACTTTGACTCTTCAATTCAAGCCACACTTTTCTCATTTATCTTCAACATTGAAATCCTCTGAAGAACGTCAGCAGTGAGGGGCTGGAGCCACAGAAAGGGACGTCAGAAACACTACATTTTCGCAGAAATCAAAGCAGGATCCTGGCCCTAAAATGTAAATAGTTTGTGACAGATGCTGCTCCACCGCCTTCACCGTTTCCCGCTCGCCAAAGTGCGTCCACGCCTAAAAACACGTCACAGAAATGTTCTCAGCTGAAATAAAACGTGTGATCGATCTCCTTCATGAGCTCGGACCACGACAAACTGAACTCTTTGTTTGTCTGAACCATAGACTGAAGACTAAGGACGTAGCACTTCTGTCAAAATGGCCGCGGGGACAAAGTAAAAAAACACATTAGCTCATGCGTTAGCTGCATTAGCCTCATTCATTTAACGAGTGCATTCAAAAGTCCACAGCGGCTAAACTAGACTGGTCCAAAAACATATACTGTACTTTTGGACCAAGAACCAAAACCTCCAAAAGTCCGACCGACACCAACAGAGGTCCTGGTCCCACGGTGGGAAATGTCAGTGTTGAATCACAAGGTACAGAAAACACAGCAGTGGCAGAAGAAGAGAGAGAACTACTTCCTGGACCCAAAGAGAACGTTTGTTTACGAAGCAACAGCGGCTTTAAAGCTATGGTCCTTAACTTTCAAACTGCAACAAAAGAGAAGCGTGATCCAATCCATTATTCTCAAACTGTTTTGTTCCATCTCTTCTTTCATCTGTCGCTTTTTAAAAATCAGCTTTTTCCGACAGAAACTCTGAGACTCAGACCAAAGAGTCCAACCGTGACAGATCCTGAGATAGTTACAGAGATAGATACTTTATAGATCCTGTTGGAGAAATGCAGGTGTCCAGGATCAGCAGAAACACATCCAAACAAACAAAACTAAAAAATATATAATTATAAAAGTATTTAACAATAGCAATAATAATAACAACAGTCCTTCAGGTCACAGCAGCAGCAGAGGAGGAGCTCGGTTCAGACTGACTCTGGTCTGGACCAGTGTAAAACCATGAATCCTCTCTGCTCTGGTCTGGACCAGTGTAAAACCATGAATCCTCTCTGCTCTGGTCTGGACCAGTGTAAAACCATGAATCCTCTCTGCTCTGGTTTGGACCAGTGTAAAACCATGAATCCTCTCTGCTCTGGTCTGGACCAGTGTAAAACCATGAATCCTCTCTGCTCTGGTCTGGACCAGTGTAAAACCATGAATCCTCTCTGCTCTGGTCTGGACCAGTGTAAAACCATGAATCCTCTCTGCTCTGGTCTGGACCAGTGTAAAACCATGTGTAAAACCATGAATCCTCTCTGCTCTGGTCTGGACCAGTGTAAAACCATGAATCCTCTCTGCTCTGGTCTGGACCAGTGTAAAACCATGAATCCTCTCTGCTCTGGTCTGGACCAGAGTAAAACCATGAATCCTCTCTGCTCTGGTCTGGACCAGGACTCGCTGCAGTTTCCAGAACGTTCTAAAGTAAATGGTTCTTTCCGTACAGGAGAATTTGTTAAAAACAGCAGGATTTGGTCTGATTTATTCATAACATTTGACTTTCTGTTGGACGTCTATTGCAAAAATGTGAAGTTCTCGAGCTTTAACTTATGAGGATCCAAAGCAGAGTAAATGTAAATGAGCAAATATGTGTTTTCAGCTCAAATATTGCATCAACCGAAAGAAGGAGAAGTAAAAATATGTTTTATGGAAATGAAGCGAGTCAGAGCAATGAGTCGGATCTCAACAAGTCATTAGACAAACTCCAGTGAAAGGCACAAGACACAGAAACACAGCAGTCCGACCACAGACAGAGCAGTGCCGCATGTTCTCAACCCAAACAGAGTCAGTGCATTGGTCATTTGCAGTAAAACCACAGTGGAATAGACGTGCAAAAGTCCCCAGTGTGCAGCAGACAAGTGCATACATAAAACCAGCTCAGAAGCAGAGCAATAACAGAAGGCTATTTTCACAAAACAATCGTGTTGAAAAGAAGGCACTGGCAGATTTGAGAGACCCCCCCCCCCCCCCTCTCCTCTCTCTGCCCCCCCACCCAGCCCCCCCCCGGTCCATCCATTCCTGCGCCTTTCCACGCGTCTCTCCTCGACCTTGGCTTTGAAGAGACACAACCAAACACTCCATCCTCCAGAGCTGCATCCACACTCTCCACAAACACACCGACTCTCTCCACATAGTCCCTCCCCTCTCCTCTGCTCTGTCCTCCGGGCTCTGCATCCGCCGTGCGTGGGTATGTGCGTGTGTAGGACCATTCGCATCACGTACAGGAATGCCCAGTGAGAGAATAATAACACAGATCAACATGCAAGAGCCGTTCTCCCTCCCTCTCTCACACACACACACACAGGCTCAACATAGTCCAGGCACCAGTCTGAATTACGCATAGACCATCATCACTCTCTCCATGTGCACGCGTGGCACCAGCGAAAGCATCCACCAGACATCAGTTCGCATCCCCAAAAGCAAGAACCAAACCAGCCATATGCAAAAGAACTTACCTTTGCAGAGAAGCAGCAGCAGCAGGAGGTGGAGGAGGAGGAGAGGAGCCAGGGCGACACGGAGCGTACAGCAGCCCATAGTGATCGATCCTTTCCCGGTGTCGCGAACCCAGAAGCCGTGGTATTCCGTGCCGTTCTTTCCCGTTTTTACGCAGCAGACAGAAGCACCACTGCAGAGCCACAGGACGTACCGGAGCTGTGCCAAATGTAGTCCAAACTTCTACGCACGAAACAGCGACAAACACAAATCCAAATCCACGTGACTTCTCTCCCCCCGGAGCAGCAGGAGGAGCAGCAGGAGCAGGAGGAGCAGGAGCAGCGAGTGTGTATATTCCAATTAACAGTTGCAGTGAGGATGCAGAGGAAGTGAGCAAACGTGGAGGAGTCCTGGAGATGTGCTCGAGTGGAGAGTCGGACGCAGAGTGTGTGCGCAAGAGTCCAACTCACTCCAACCGAGCGCAATTAGAGCGTCTGTGTTGGTATGCAGCGAGAGAGAGAGAGGGAGGGAGGGAGAGAGCAGAGAGAGAGAGAGAGAGGGAGGGAGGGAGGGAGGGAGGGAGAGAGCAGAGAGAGAAAGGGGAGAGATTAGAGACGGCAGCAGCGGCAGAAGCAACACTCTGCTGCGGTGGAGGATGCTCACAAAGAACGAGGCTGAGTTGATTGACGTTTCAAGGAGAGAGGCAGTCTTCCAATCAGCGCGTGCGGGAGAGGGAGGGGGAGGGGAGGGGGAGGGAGGGGGGGGAGGGGAGGGGGAGGGAGGGAGGGGGGGGGGGGGGGGGGTTAATTTCGCGCGAGGGGGTCCCGGAGAACGGCGAATCAGAGCCGCGCGGGACCGACACAGAGACCCGTGTCTTCCCGAATCAAATGTGATTTATGTGGAGAGCACAGGGACTGCTGCAGTGGCACAGGCTACAGGCCACAGAGGGGGGCGGAGGGGGAGGGGGTCAAAGGGGGGAGGCCAGGGGGGAGGTGGGGGGCAAGTTTATTTGTAAGGCACATGTATAGCAGTCCATATGCAAGGAAACTGTAAGTGTTAAACAAAAACAAGAAAGATTCATAATAATAAGGCACTCAAATGGTCCTGCCCCTGCTCCTGCCCCTGGTCCTGCCCCTGGTCCTGCCCCTGGTCCTGGTCCTGCCCCTGGTCCTGCCCCTGGTCCTGGTCCTGCCCCTGGTCCTGGTCCTGGTCCTGGTCATTAAACTACACACTACAAACAGCACAACAACACAACTGAAGAGAGCGTAAGACACACACAGACACACACACAGAGAGAGACACACACACACACAGACACACACAGAGACACACACACACACAGAGAGACACACACACACACAGAGAGACACACACAGACACACACAGAGACACACACACAGACACACACAGAGACACACACACAGACACACTCAAACACACACAAACACGATGCGTTGTGACAACTGAGTGTGTCACGCTGCAGCGTCTCTCACAGAATCCATCGCTGACGTTTCATCGTCACGACAGATTCATCTAAGAACACAGGGATTTATGGTACTGAGAGAGGGGAGCACAGGGACTGGCCTCCTGCTGGGACTCTGAGGAGCACAGGGACTGGCCTCCTGCTGGGACTCTGAGGAGCACAGGGACTGGCCTCCTGCTGGGACTCTGAGGAGCACAGGGACTGGCCTCCTGCTGGGACTCTGAGGAGCACAGGGACTGGCCTCCTGCTGGGACTCTGAGGAGCACAGGGACTGGTCTCCTGCTGGGACTCTGAGGAGCACAGGGACTGGCCTCCTGCTGGGACTCTGAGGAGCACAGGGACTGGCCTCCTGCTGGGACTCTGAGGAGCACAGGGACTGGTCTCCTGCTGGGACTCTGAGGAGCACAGGGACTGGCCTCCTGCTGGGACTCTGAGGAGCACAGGGACTGGCCTCCTGCTGGGACTCTGAGGAGCACAGGGACTGGCCTCCTGCTGGGACTCTGAGGAGCACAGGGACTGGCCTCCTGCTGGGACTCTGAGGAGCACAGGGACTGGCCTCCTGCTGGGACTCTGAGGAGCACAGGGACTGGCCTCCTGCTGGGACTCTGAGGAGCACAGGGATGGACTCCTGCTGGGACTCTGAGGAGCACAGGGACTGGACTCCTGCTGGGACTCTGAGGAGCACAGGGACTGGACTCCTGCTGGGACTCTGAGGAGCACAGGGACTGGCCTCCTGCTGGGACTCTGAGGAGCACAGGGACTGGCCTCCTGCTGGGACTCTGAGGAGCACAGGGACTGGACTCCTGCTGGGACTCTGAGGAGCACAGGGACTGGACTCCTGCTGGGACTCTGAGGAGCACAGGGACTGGCCTCCTGCTGGGACTCTGAGGAGCACAGGGACTGGCCTCCTGCTGGGACTCTGAGGAGCACAGGGACTGGCCTCCTGCTGGGACTCTGAGGAGGCTGTGTTTCATATTGATGCTAGAATCTGGAACAGTCTTCCTGAAAATGTGAGACGGATTCTTCTCTGACGATGTTTAAATCCAGGTGAAGACTGAAGATTATGGTTCTCCTTCAGGTCCTCAGTCCAGTCTTTGGACTCTCCTGTAGTTTGTAAATGTGTTTCATTGTGACGTGTTCTAGTCGGTTCTAGAGCTTTTAAAGATCACACACATGTTCAATGTTGTTCTGGTTCATGCCAATATTTTATTTTTTTTATTTTTTAACTGTAGAAATACTCCCAGAACAGTCATTTTGACGGCTCCACTCGTCAAAATGTAATGTTTCTTGGTAACCAACTGTCTATGGCAGATGAAGCCACTTCTCTCCAAGTGTGAGTTACCATAGCAACAGTTTACTGTCAGCCGTTAGCATTTAGCTTTTAGTATCTTAACAAACTGTATTCACCAGTTTTAGCACTTTTATGAGGTAATGTTTCATAAATCCATTGGTTTGAATGGAGCAGTCAAAATGGCGGCTGTTGAAGGTGTCTGTCCTCTCATGGTGTCTGTCCTCTCATGGTGTCTGTCCTCTCATGGTGTCTGTCCTCTCATGGTGTCTGTCCTCTCATGGTGTCTGTCCTCTCATGGTGTCTGTCCTCTCATGGTGTCTGTCCTCTCATGGTATCTGTCCTCTCATGGTGTCTGTCCTCTCATGGTGTCTGTCCTCTCATGGTGTCTGTCCTCTCATGGTGTCTGTCCTCTCATGGTGTCTGTCCTCTCATGGTGTCTGTAGTCCTGGTGTTTGGACCTGTCTGCTCCGAGTCCACTTTAAAACCACTTCTTTGCGTCTGTAATATTCAGAACACGGTGTCTCTGCCCGATCTTTTCTAACGTGTCATTTGCTGAATCATAGGATCTTTACACGTCTTCGGGCCGAGTCCTGACAGCAGATTTATGGAGTGGAACCACAGACAGCCATGATGAATGTGGAAGGTTTTCAGCTCCATCCCAAAGAAATGAGCTCCAACAGGAAGAGAGGAAGTCCCCGGAATGCACCAATATAAGGACACTATAGGACAGAGGAGAGAGGACAGAGGACAGAGGACAGAGGAGAGAGGAGAGAGGAGAGAGGACAGAGGAGAGAGGACAGAGGAGAGAGGAGAGAGGACAGAGGAGAGAGGAGAGAGGAGAGAGGACAGAGGAGAGAGGACAGAGGAGAGAGGACAGAGGAGAAAGGAGAGAGAACAGAGGAGAGAGGACTGAGGACAGAGGAGAGAGGACAGAGGAGAGAGGACAGAGGAGAGAGGAGAGAGGACAGAGGAGAGAGAACAGAGGACTGAGGAGAGAGGAGAGAGGACAGAGGAGAGAGGAGAGAGGACAGAGGAGAGAGGACAGAGGAGAGAGGACAGAGGAGAGGGGACAGAGGAGAGAGGAGAGAGGACAGAGGAGAGAGGACAGAGGAGAGAGGACAGAGGAGAAAGGAGAGAGAACAGAGGAGAGAGGACTGAGGACAGAGGAGAGAGGACAGAGGAGAGAGAACAGAGGACTGAGGAGAGAGGAGAGAGGACAGAGGAGAGAGGACAGAGGACAGAGGAGAGAGGACAGAGGAGAGGGGACAGAGGAGAGAGAACAGAGGAGAGAGGACAGAGGAGAGAGAACAGAGGAGAGAGGACTGAGGACAGAGGAGAGAGAACAGAGGAGAGAGGAGAGAGGACAGAGGAGAGAGGACAGAGGAGAGAGGACAGAGGACAGAGGAGAAAGGAGAGAGAACAGAGGAGAGAGGACTGAGGACAGAGGAGAGAGGACAGAGGACAGAGGAGAGAGGACAGAGGAGAGAGGACAGAGGAGAGAGAACAGAGGAGAGAGGACAGAGGAGAGAGGAGAGAGAACAGAGGAGAGAGGACTGAGGACAGAGGAGAGAGGACAGAGGAGAGAGGACAGAGGAGAGAGGACAGAGGAGAAAGGAGAGAGAACAGAGGAGAGAGGACAGAGGAGAGGGGACAGAGGAGAGAGAACAGAGGAGAGAGGACAGAGGAGAGAGGAGAGAGAACAGAGGAGAGAGGACTGAGGACAGAGGAGAGAGGACAGAGGAGAGAGGACAGAGGAGAGAGGACAGAGGAGAAAGGAGAGAGAACAGAGGAGAGAGGACTGAGGACAGAGGAGAGAGGACAGAGGAGAGAGGAGAGAGGACAGAGGAGAGAGAACAGAGGAGAGAGGAGAGAGAACAGAGGACTGAGGAGAGAGGAGAGAGGACAGAGGAGAGAGGACAGAGGACAGAGGAGAGAGGACAGAGGAGAGAGGACAGAGGAGAGAGGAGAGAGAACAGAGGAGAGAGGACAGAGGACAGAGGAGAGAGGACAGAGAGAGAGGACAGAGGAGAGAGAACAGAGGAGAGAGGACAGAGAGAGAGGACGAGGAAAGAGGAGAGAGGACAGAGGAGAGAGAACAGAGGAGAGAGGACAGAGGAGAGAGGAGAGAGGACAGAGGAGAGAGGACAGACGTCTCTCTCTCTTTCTCCTCTCTGTCTTTTCTCTCTCTCTCTGTCTCTCTCTGTCTCTCTCTTGAGTCGTGGTGAGCACTTGTCTAACCCTCTGGCCTCGTTATGTATCGCTCTAGTCTCTGCTCACGTTTATTGACTTGTTTCTTTATCCACCTGATTAACCAATTACAGCCTGATTACCTCTGAGTGTGTGAGCAACAACACTGAGTTATCAATTTTAGAGAGAGTGGTGCAAAAGGAGAGAGAGAGCCCCAGAGAGAGAGAGAGACCAGAGAGAGAGAGAGAGAGACCAGAGAGAGAGAGAGAGACCAGAGAGAGAGAGACCAGAGAGAGAGAGAGAGACCAGAGAGAGAGAGAGAGAAACCAGAGAGAGAGAGAGAGAGAGAGAGACAGAGGAGAGAGAGAGACCAGAGAGAGAGAGAGAGAGAGACCAGAGAGAGAGAGAGAGAGAGACCAGAGAGAGAGAGAGAGAGAGAGAGACCAAGAGAGAGAGAGACCAGAGAGAGAGACCAGAGAGAGAGACCAGAGACCAGAGAGAGAGAGAGAGACCAGAGAGAGAGAGACCAGAGAGAGAGAGAGACCAGAGAGAGAGAGAGAGACCAGAGAGAGAGAGACCAGAGAGAGAGACCAGAGAGAGAGTAGAGCGCAGACCAGGAGGAGTGAGGATGGCCAGAGGGAGAGACGCAGAGGAGAGACGCAGAGAGAGCCAGCGTGGAGAGAGGACGGAGGCCAGAGAGCCGACAGAAAGAGAGACAGAGGGAGACCAGAGAGAGACCAGAGAGAGCGGACGACACTGAGAGAGATGAACCAGGAGAGACCGAGAGTAGAGACAGAGAGAGAGACCAGAGAGAGAGGACAGCGAAGAGATGAGAGACAGAGAAGTAGAGACCCGATGGAGAGAGACCGAGAGAGAGGACCGGGATTGAGAGGACCAGAGGAGAGGACCAGGAGGAGGGAGAGACCATGAGATAGAGGCCAGAGAGGGAGTGGGAACCGAGCGGCGAGACCCAGAGAGAGAGACCGGGGAGAGACGACCAGAGAGACGAGACCAGAAGAGAGTATTGCCCGGGGGAGGGAGGCAGAGATGGAGCCCAGAGATGAGGACCAGGAGAGAGACCAGAGATGGAGAGACAGATCTGAGAGTGACCTGGAGACCAGAGGGGACCCAGGAGGATGAAGAGTTTACAGACCCCAGGGGCACCCCCCACACGAGAGGCCTCAGGAGACCCAAGAGAGGGACTCGCGTCCCCCTTCCCTCGGCGCGTCGTCCCCGCTTGCTCTCGTCCCTCTTCCTCGCCCTCTTCTCTGCTTTCCCTTGCTTGCTGCTCGTGTCGCTCTCCCCTCTTCGCTCGTCCATCTGCCCATATTCGCTCGTGCCCTCGATCGCTCTGCCCTTTCGCTCGTCCCTCTTCTCCCTTCTCTCTCCCCTCTCGTTCCTCTTCCCGCTCGCTTGGTTCCCTCTTTCGCGCTCCCTCTGCTCTCTTCCCCTCTTCTCGCTTCTCTCGCCCCTCTTCTCTCTCCAGCTGCCCTCTGCTCTCGTACCGCTCTTCTCTCTTCCACTCGTCTCTCTGTCCCTCTGCTCCCGTCTCTCTCCCCTCTTCTCTCTTTCCCATCGTCCCTCTTCTTCTCTCCTCTTCTCTCTGTCTCTCTTCCCTCGCTTCCTCTCCCCGCTTCTCTCGTGCGCTCGACCAGCTCCATGCTCTCTCTTCTCTAGGCCCGCGCTTGCCTCTTTCCCTCCTTCCCCCTTCGCTCTTCCCGGCGTCTCTCTTCCCGATTTGGCCTCTAGCTCTCTCCCACTCTTCTCTCTGTCCCTCTTCCCCCGGCTGTCTCTCTTGCCCTCTGGTCTATCATTCCCGAGCTTCTCTCGTCCCCTCGGCTCTCTTCCTCTGCCTGCGCCTTCCCTGCTTCCCGGGCGGTCGCTGCGTCCCGCTGCTCCTCGCCCTCGCTTCTTCTCTTCCCGCCTTCCTCTTCTCGCGGCCCGCTGCTCGCGTGCCCGCCTACACCACACAGCAAACACAACACCAGACCAAACACACTACACACATACACCATAAATGGAAGTTAATCAGAGCAAAATAAACAAAGAAGGCGCTAACATTGCAATTTAAATGACTAGATAATGTTAGCATAATCCTCACCATTACCTTTTTATCAAATCAAACTTTCTACCAGTTACTGGAAGACCACGACATTCAAGCCAACGTTTTAATTGGTCTACACTATGATCCCTGAGTGGTTTGATGGTGGAATTTTGCCCCTGGTTTATCATTTTCGTCTAAAGTGACAAGAGGTATTTGATTCATTTTGGCAGTGTTTGTCCGAAACATGTGGGCGGGAGTTGACAGGCGGCGGGGGCGTGTCTTAGTGACGTCATTCAGATAGTTCGCTATGAGCTCAAACAGCTTTGTTTGCTATTGTTGTTCTGAAGAGGACAAAGTAGCAGCGTAAATGGGACCGCTCCTGTGTGATCGCCCTCATGTGGTTTGTTGTGGGATTACAACATTCTCCTCAAAACTCCGTAAGGGGAACGCGCCAGTATAACATCAATTGTGCTTACGTAGGTCCACCGCAACCGCTAACGTAAGCCACGCCGCGCAAGTATACACTAGGCTTTACGTTGCCTGCTGCGCAGCATCGACATTTTCTAACTACGTGCCACAAGGAAGCTCCGCTGTGATTGGTCCGTGTGTGTGTGTTGGAAGGAAGCACGGAGCGGCTGCAGCAGGGACAATGGACGAGGTACTAAGGAGCGGACTGCTTCACGCTTCGAAGGAACCAAAGGAAAAGTAGTTTGGGCTCATGGCAGAGCCTGATATACGCGGAGACTGTGGACTAGAGTTCTGTTGCATATCTAACATATATATAACTTATAAACTGTGCAGTCGTTTCTTTTGTACGGAGCCCTGCAAGGGCCAGGGGTAAAAAAATAAATAAACTGTGCGCACAGATTGTTAAACTGTGCGCACAGATTGTTAAACTGTGCGCACAGATTGTTAAACTGTGCGCACAGATTGTTAAACTGTGCGCACAGATTGTTAAACTGTGCGCACAGATTGTTAAACTGTGCGCACAGATTGTTAAACTGTGAGCACAGATTGTTGAACCGTGCCCACAAATGCGTCAGATGAGATGTCACTTCCGGCGCCGCGTCATACCCGGGCTGTATCCGAATGTCCACACTATACCCTATTCACTCACTCACTATATAGTTCGGGACTATATAGCGACTGAGTGAGTGAGTCAGTGCACTCATTCTGTTGGCGATTCGGACAGCTGCACACTATTTTTAGCCGCGGCCCACATCACACCCCTGTCACATGTCATTGGATCAATATAATTTTATATATAAATAAAAGTATATTAAAATATCAATATTTGTCTAATATACATGTATAAAATGTTTTTACAATTTATATTCATATTTATGAATTTTGGTTGACGTCTTTCATATTCCCGCCACCTGACCGGCTCCTCTAACACCGGTGAAATGGCACCTCCACTGAATTTTGCGGTGTTTTTCATAACTATTATACAAGTTATCATAATGCGAATTAAACACCGCCGAACAGAGAGAAGGCGAAGACAGGCGATGAGGGCGAGGAGGAGAATGGCTCTTCGTTCATTAGCAAGGCGTCGTGTAAGTATTGTATTCGTCCTTTGTCTATATAGCATTAGCACCATCTACTGGGTAAATTATAGTACTTTTGGTGTACTTACTAATTCAAAATACTATTCTCAGTCAATGAGAAACACATTAGTCATATACATTTAGACATATTTCAACAAGAAAACACATTGTATAGACACACTCACTTAAAATGCAAGAACATTAAAATATTTTATTGGTTGAAAGAACACAAAACCATAGCAAGGGAAATGGATTAAGTACTCATTTTTTCTAAATGAAAAATGAGTACTTAATCATTAAACAATAATAGAATTTGCTTGGCCATGGGGCACAGGGCTTCTGTGATTTTTTTGTGTGTTATTAGGTGCGAGTGATGTAGTGAGGGTTTCTACTTCAGTTGTCTCAGGGCAGCTCCAGCTCCCTGCAACACACAATACATTTGGCAAAATCAATGCCAGGGCACAAAATAACATGACTTCAGCTATATACTCTTCATTTTTATTTACATTTTTAAATCTCAAAATGAAAAATGAGTACTTATTCCTGTGTCTGCACTCATAACTAAAAGTGCAGATACAGAATAAAAACATGAATCTAGAAGTATCATATTAAGTTTAAGAGAATTTTTGTTTTGTTTTAGGGTGAACCACCGGTGTACTGCCGACTGAACCACCATGTACCCCTAGTCAGCATGTACTTAAATGGCCAGTCTGACCTTCGCCCCGATTTTCGCCTCACTCGAACCACCATCACCCGTCTGGTTAGCCATCTGAGGAGTGCTCATCACCAGGGCTGGAGCCAGGACATGGAGGTTTTGGTCTTCCTCTTTTGGTTGGCCAGTGGCACCGCGTACCGTGTTGTCGCCAGGGCATTTGACATGCCCCAGTCCACGGTCCACGATGTGATCCACAGGGTGGCCAACCAGATCCTTCAAATGCGTGGCCAAATAATTCATTTCCCTTCCCTGGAGGAACTTCCCCAAGTTGCAGCTGGGTTTCAGTTGCTGGCTGGATCAGCTGCTCTCAATAATGTTGTGGGGAGCATCGACGGCTGCCACATTAGAATAAAGCCCCTTCAAGAAAATGCACAGTGTTATTTTAACAGGAAATTGTTTTATTCCATTCAAATGCAGGCTGTGTGTAATCACCGTGGCTTATTTATTGATTTATTTGTTGGCTACCCCGGATCTGTGCACGATTCTCGAGTGCTTAAAAACAGCCCCCTCTACGTCCACCGGCTCTATCCCCCAAATGGACACGTCCTCCTTGGGGATGGGGGTTACCCTTGCCTCTGTCAGCCCATCACACTCCTCCCTCCATACAGAGAGCCTGTTCGGAGCCCAGTGGAAGCCCGCTTCAACCGGCACCATGCACGGGCACGATCTGTAACAGAAAGAGCGTTTGACATGATGAAGGCAAGATGGCGATCCATTTTTTTCAAGGCACTGGAAGTCCAACCCACCTTTGCAGTCCAGGTGACTGCCTGTTGCACCATCCTGCACAACATCTGCATCAGCGATGGTGATCTCTGGGAGCCAGTGGAAGAGGAGCCAGGGCCTGATGATGAGCAGGACCAGCATCAGCAGCACCAGCCTGATCAGCAGTGTGGACAGGAGCTGTGTGGACAGGAGCTGTGTGGACAGGAGCTGTGTGGACAGGAGCTGTGTGGACAGGAGCTGTGTGGACAGCTGTGTGGACAGGAGCTGCGTGGACAGGAGCTGTGTGGACAGGAGCTGTGTGGACAGGAGCTGTGTGGACAGCTGTGTGGACAGGAGCTGTGTGGACAGGAGCTGTGTGGACAGGAGCTGTGTGGACAGGAGCTGTGTGGACAGGAGCTGTGTGGACAGGAGCTGTGTGGACAGGAGCTGTGTGGACAGGAGCTGTGTGGACAGGAGCAGTGTGGACGGATGGCAGCAGCACTTTCCGCCCCAAGGGACTATTAATTAAATGTTTGAATAATCTGTGTTTTGGCCTATTTAAATAAAAACAAAAACAATTGAATATGTAAATATCTAAAAAGAAATTGTTGAATGTATGTATAGTTCTTTACAAATGTCTAGTTGATTAAATGTTTTTTTGTAAATAGTGTTCATCATTGTATGTCGATATGCATATAGTTCAAACTACACTTATCAAAATACATTTTTATCTACTATTTACAACTTCTCAACAATTCATCCATGAGGGAGTACCACTTCCAAGATATGGCGATGGGCTCCCCTCCTTCTGTCCCTGTCCCTGTCCGTGGCTGTCTGAGCTCCTTAAAACAGTGAGTTTTGTATAATAAATGCTTCACAAATTAGCTTCAAAGAAACAAACCTTGTACTGTAGGTCTTTTTCAGGTTCTCCCACTTCTTGGCCGCTCTGGCAGGGGTGATCAGGCGGCTCAGCCCCATTTCCTTTATTACTGCCCTAAAGTAACGATACATAAAAACATTTGAATATGAGTAGACGTTTTTTGAATAAGTATTTATTCATAATGGTCATACTCCCATCCAGCCGCCGATGCAAATTTTTCACTCGCAGTCAGATGAGTCTCTCCACATCAGTGTCTGTCCCTTTAAAAAACATTAAACACACAATAAATGCTACACGTATAACACAAGTGCTTTAATAACATTAATGACTGACCACCAGTGACCCGTTTCTGTAGCGTTCGCTTTAGATGTTAATGTTATGATATGCAAAAATGCTAACACTTTCGCGGCATAACATTGGTACGTTGTTTCGCAGTAAAAGGCAATGGTATTCTGACTTCAAATGTGTATTTTGGCAGCTTATCGTCAACAATATATCACGGTTTACACATTTACATATTTATGATGATTAAAAACTCACATTTGTAGCTCATGTCCCGCTTCTCTTCCAGCTCGTCTCCCCGTGCCTCCGCCATTGTTTTTCCGTATAGTGACCACTGCTGCTCACTCCATTTTCGAGATGCATTGTGGGAAAATTCCAGTGCACTACTTTTTCTCTCTGGACATTCGGACACCCCTACAAAATGGCGTGACCACTATATAGTGCACTATATAGGGTATAGTGTGGACATTCGGATACAGACCCAGACCCAGACTCAGACCTCAGACCTCAGACCTCAGACCTCAGACTCAGACTCAGACTCAGATCTCAGATCTCAGATCTCAGATCTCAGATCTCAGACTCAGACCTCAGACTCAGACTCAGACCCGTGATTGCAATCAGCTCAGTGTGTGTGTCGTTCAGCTTCAGGAGGGCCTTTGGTTGTTGTTCTGATCTATTTTCTAAAACCGGGAACACTTGAGAAGCTGACATGTTGGATTGGGATCATAATCACCCTCATGCTCCGAGACACAGATCACAGGAAGAGACCGAGAAACAGGAGGAATGATGAATGCTAGGTTTGTCTTTTTGGGGGAAACAATGATTTTAATAATGAAGAGTGATTCCAAAAACAGAAAGGCAAAACCAAAGATCAAACAAAACAAATATGTTCAGTAGAAACTCAGCTCCAGGCTCAAAACAGAAGATACAGGCTCCACAAGAAGCTTATATCCATACATTCATTTAGAAAATTGATACATTATAATAATAATGCATTAATAATGTATTCAAAGCTTTTCAGGACTCTCAAAGTCTCTTCACATCATCATTCTTTCACTCCATAAACATATATATATATATATATATAAACATTTTGCCACATTTCAGACTTCAAACATAAAGATATAAATTGTTTATTTTTTGTCATGAATCAACAACAAGTGGGACACAATCGTGAAGTGGAACGAAATGTATTGGATAATTTAAACTTTTTTAACAAATAAAAAACTGAAAAGTGGGGCGTGCAATATTATTGGGCCCCTTTACTTTCAGTGCAGCAAACTCAGTCCAGAAGTTCAGTGAGGATCTTTGAATGATCCAATGTTGTCCTAAATGACTGATGATGATAAATAGAATGCACCTGTGTGTAATCAAGTCTCCGTATAAATGCACCTGCTCTTTGATAGTCTCAGGGTTCTGTTTAAAGCACAGAGAGAACCATGAAGACAAAGGAACACACCAGGCAGGTCCGAGATACTGTTGTGGAGAAGTTTAAAGCCGGATTTGGATACAAAAAGATTTCCCAAGCTTTAACCATCTCAAGGAGCACTGTGCAAGCAATTATAATGAAATGGAAGGAGTATCAGACCACTGCAAATCTACCAAGACCCGGCCGTCCCTCCAAACTTTCATCTCAAACAAGGAGAAGACTGATCAGAGATGCAGCCAAGAGGCCCATGATCACTCTGGATGAACTGCAGATAACTACAGCTGAGGTGGGAGAGTCTGTCCATAGGACAACAATCAGTCGTGCACTGCACAAATCTGGCCTTTATGGAAGAGTGGCAAGAAGAAAGCCATTTCTCAAAGATATCCATAAAAAGTCTGGTTTAAAGTTTGCCACAAGCCACCTGGGAGACACACCAAACATGTGGAAGAAGGTGCTCTGGTCAGATGAAACCAAAATCAAACTTTTTGGCCACAATGCAAAACGATATGTTTGACGTAAAAGCAACACAGCTCATCACCCTGAACACACCATCCCCACCTCAGCAGTGTAATATGTAGTTTGTATATGTAGAGATACAGGGGGCCAAAGAAGAAACCCAGAAGGGCACATAGGAGAAGTGTTGTGCGTGAACGAGTTCAAAAGAACGCGTTCATTGAACACGCTCATTTTTTCGTGAACGTTGAACTGAACGCAACACATTTTTTAAAAAAGAACTTTAACGTGAATTAGTTCATTTTATGTGTCATGAACGGCAGACATCACTATGAACGTTGGAATCTGTTTTCTCTTTTGAAACGCAACAAGAGAAAGTTCCCAGAAGGTTTCCACCGTCTGTGAACGCACCCCGACTCCGTGTTGCGGTGCGGCGCTGTGAGCTGGTGCTTTTCACATGGGCCCGAGTCGTGATGAAAACACAAGGTGAGTTAGCGACAAAGTTTACACCGTTTACATTTGACATAAAGTACAGACACAGCACTGCAGCGCATTACTGTCTGTAGTTTATGAGCATAAAGTACAGACACAGTACTGCAGCACATTACTGTCTGTAGTTTATGAGCATAAAGTACAGACACAGCACTGCAGCGCATTACTGTCTGTAGTTTATGAGCATAAAGTACAGACACAGCACTGCAGCGCATTACTGTCTGTAGTTTATGAGCATAAAGTACAGACACAGCACTGCAGCGCATTACTGTCTGTAGTTTATGAGCATAAAGTACAGACACAGCACTGCAGCGCATTACTGTCTGTAGTTTATGAGCATAAAGTACAGACACAGCACTGCAGCGCATTACTGTCTGTAGTTTATGAGCAGAGATGGAGCAGCTCCGTTTGGCTCCCAATGAAAACCATGTAAATCTTGTTGGTGTACAGGAGATATATATATATATATATATATATATATATAGCTCGTAGTGTGAAAAAAATATGTATTTATCTCACGAAAAAAGTAAAATGAACTGAACTTTGAACTAGTTCAGAATTAAAAATGTGAACTTTGAACGTGAACTGTTCACTTTGAGCATGTATGAACTGAACTTGAACTAGTTCAGAAAAGCTGTGAACTGGCACAACACTGCATAGGAGGGGGGGGGGGGGGGGGGGGGGGGGGGTTAATAAAAAAGGCAATACAAGCAAACCGTATACAGTCATAGATATACCGAAAGTGAACAGAGAAACAGCATAGAGTATTTACATGAACAAATTTACAAAATATTTACAGATTGTTTATCATCATCATAATGACACCATGATGTTTCTATACAGTCTATGGTCTATACCCACACACACACAAATGTGTGACTAATTTGCGATTAATCGCGAGTTAACTATGAAATTCATGCGATTAATTGCGATTAAATATTTTAATCATTGGACAGCACTAATATATATATATATATATATATATATATATATATATATTATATATATATATATACAGCAGTGGTGATAAACTACTACTGTAGCCACAGCTGCCCTGGGGCACACTGTCTGTGCCATTGGCCCCTCCAGGCCCTGCTCTGCTCAGCTCCAGAGGTCAGACCATAAACCTCAGGTTTGGGCTGCACTTCATAGAGTTAAAGATCTATATCTTTATCTCTATATCAATGAGTTTTCTGTATTTTTGCAAAGGTTAAATCCATTAAAAGAGCGATCGAGCCCACATCAGTAAATACGATACAAACAGCTGTAGTTTCTGAGCTGTCATTTCTTTCACCTGTCTCTGAAAACTTGATCAAAGAAATTATTATAAAATTGAAATCGTGCACTTGTTGCATTGACGTGATTTAAAAAGACGTTCTTAACAGTTTTTGGCCTTCTCTCGCTGTAAAAGTAAAAACTGCAGAAATCAGGCTTCTCTTAAAGAAGAGTCTTGATCCTGCAGAGCTCAGTCACTACAGACCCATCTCAAATCTGCCTTTTCTATGGAGGCTGTTAGAAAAGGCTGTTTACCTGCAGCGAAACCACTTTCTGCTGCTGTTCACCACCACAGCCAAGAGACGGCCCTGATAAAAGTGTCCAACGACATCCATCAGACCAGGCCTTAACAAGTGGAGTGCCCCAAGGATCAGTTCTGGGCCCCCTTCTTTTTAATATGTGTCACTAGGTCAATGATCCGAGGCATGAATGTGTCCTGTTACAGCAGCGCAGATGATAGATGTATGTCTCACTGACTGCAGGAGAACTTGGGCCGATAGAATCTAACAGTCACTGCATCCAACAGATCGATTCATGAATGCAAAATACAGTAACTGTCTCCAGTTAAACCCACACAAAACTGAAGTTATTGTGCTTGGTCTCAGAAACTCAGAGAAAGTCTCCAAGTTACAAAAATCAGGTCATAAATCAGTGTGTGATCATGGATTCAGATCTTGACTTCAATGTCCGCATTAAATCAGTAACATCAGCAGCTTTTTACCATCTAAAAAACATTGCCAGGATCAAAAACATAGTGTCTAAAGCAGACTTGGAGATTCTTATCCATGCATTTGTCTCCAGTAGGTTGGACTACTGCAATGGCTGCTCACAGGTCTGTCCAAACAGGCTGTAAAACAGCTGCAGTGCATTCAAAATGCAGCAGCTCCAGTCCTGACTAGAACCAGGAAGTACGACCACATTAGTCCTGACTAGAACCAGGAAGTACGACCATATTAGTCCTGACTAGAACCAGGAAGTACGACCACATTAGTCCTGACTAGAACCAGGAAGTACGACCATATTAGTCCTGACTAGAACCAGGAAGTACGACCACATTAGTCCTGACTAGAACCAGGAAGTACGACCGCATTAGTCCTGACTAGAACCAGGAAGTACGACCGCATTAGTCCTGACTAGAACCAGGAAGTACGACCGCATTAGTCCTGACTAGAACCAGGAAGTACGACCGCATTAGTCCTGACTAGAACCAGTAAGTACGACCACATTAGTCCTGACTAGAACCAGGAAGTACGACCACATTAGTCCTGACTAGAACCAGGAAGTACGACCACATTAGTCCTGACTAGAACCAGGAAGTACGACCACATTAGTCCTGACTAGAACCAGGAAGTACGACCACATTAGTCCTGACTAGAACCAGGAAGTACGACCACATTAGTCCTGACTAGAACCAGGAAGTACGACCACATTAGTCCAGTCCTCAGGTCGCCGCTCCTGCTCAGTATATACCCTATAGCAGTGGTTCCCAAAGTGGGGGTCCCGACCCCCCGGGGGGTCGCGGGAACCCCTGGGGGGGGTCGCAAGGATGGAGAGGAAGAAAGACACAGAGAGAGGAACAGAGGAGGGAGAGCCGGTCCAGAGGAGGAGGACATGGGACCGGGCCAAGAACGAGCACCGCCAGGCAGAGACCACGGGGCACTGAGGCCAGCGGGGAGAGCGGCACCGGTGAGGCGCGCATTGATAGTGCATTGGCGCGTGCGCGCCCGGGCTAGGCCCAACGACCGGGATGTGCCGGCTCTCCCCCGCGGGTGCCCGGTGGCGACCCGTGGCCGGCGAGCGGCTGGCGGGACTGCGGCCCGGTCCCGGGACTGAGAACGGAGAGGGAGCCAGACACGGGAGCCAGGCGCGGCGGGTGAGAGCCCCGTGGTCTGGCGGCCCAGGCCGTGGGGACGCATTTTAGCCTGTTTTAGCCTCTGTTTTAGCTTTTAGCCCTCTTTTTAGCTTAGGTTTTTATTGCTTTTATTTACTTGTTTTTAATGTATTTTATAATAAATTGCTTTTAATTCGCTTTTAATACAGTGGTCCTTTTTAAATCCGGGTCCGAAGAACCTGCTTTTTTTACCCCTGTGACACAGACACAGACACACACATCACAGACACACACATCTATACCAACACATACGAGATGTGATTTATTTTATATAATTTGTTTGCACTGAAGACTTTCACACAGAGATATGAAAGAATCAGAATGAAACTTTAAGTCCATTGTGTGACTCTCGTCTGTGTGTGTCTGTGTCCGTGTGTGTGTGTCTGTGTGTGTGTCTGTGTGTGTGTGTGTGTCTGTGTGTGTGTCTGTGTGTGTGTCTGTGTGTGTGTGGAGCTGCCGATGCTTTGGCAGGAGCTTAGACTATAGATTAAAAATGCTTAAAGGAGGATTACGTCGGACACAAAGATAAAGAACGGATGAAAGACTTAAAGGTAAAGTTTACTCTTTTATTTGTATAACACTTATTATTAGTTTTATTTCAAGAACTGATGCTTTACTTTCTCATTCTGAGACATGTGTCTTTTTATAACAAGATACATTTGCTCATTTTCCGGTTGGTCAATCTGGTTTTAAGGCAAAATGTGCTGAAATTTAGACTAATTCATCGAATTTGACACATTTTGACATATTTGTCATTTATTGGGGCCTACACACATTTACACACATATACACACATATACACACATATACATAGAATGTACGTACATTTACATCCATCCATTTTCTTCCCCTTAATCCATGTCTGGGTCGGGGGTGGCAGTCAGAGCACCAGCCCCTCACTGATCCTCCTGCAGGTGGTGAGTCCACAGGAGCTGAGATCTTTCAGTGGGGGCTTCAGGGAAAGTGGGGTTAAGTGTCTTGCCCAAGGACACAACGACAGCAGTCATCAGTGGGAGTCGGTGGGGAGGTCTTATGGTGGGATCAAACCCACAACCTTCAGGCCCAAAGACTAATGCTCTACCAACTTACATATACTTACATGTACACACATGTACACACATGTACACACATGTACACACATGTACGTATATGTGTGTACATGTATGTGCACATACATGTACACACATATACATACATGTATGTCACGGGGGCGGAGGGCCCCGTACAACCCTATTACTGTACAATGGGGAGCACTCTATTAATTGACATTCAACACCATTGAAAGGAATAACAATTTTATTTAGGAACAATTAAAATGAATTATTAATACTATTATATAAAAGTCTGGACTGGGTCCCAATTTAAAAAATACTATTTAAAAGAGTCGTGAAGGTCGTGGTGCGCGCGCCGCTCCAGTCCGCCAGTGCGCACGGGTCTCAGGGCACTAAACGATCCACAGCAGCGGGGCTGCCTGTGTAGAGAGGGGGGGCTGCCTGTGTAGAGAGGGGGGGCTGCCTGTGTAGAGAGGGGGGGCTGCCTGTGTAGAGAGGGGGGGCTGCCTGTGTAGAGAGGGAGGGCCGTCAACACACTAGGCCAGTGACAGGGGGGAGGCTTGGGCTGGTGGTGGTAGGGGCTACAGGCCCGGCTCACACAAAAAGAACACAGCACTCCAAAGAACTAAAATAGCAACAGCCTTATTCCCACAACCACCGCCAACGAACAGGAAAGCCACTTAGCTGCGAGGAGGGGGGTCGGCGTACTCTCCCCCTCCAGTTCCCCACGACGCCTCCTGTCACCGGTGTCTCCTCCTCTGGTCCACTCTGCCAGGCTCCGTGCGCGCTGTTTGCTCTGGCCCGTCTGCTCACTCCTGCTCCGGACACCTCCGACCCACATCACACTCACACCTGTCCTTTCTACCTAATTGCACTCACGCCCATCACGCACGCACACCCATCACACACACGCCCATCACGCACGCACACACGCACGCACACCCATCACACACACGCCCATCACGCACGCACGCACACGCTCCCTTGGTCCACCTTGTGACATATACATACATGTACACATATACATACATGTACACACATGTACACACATATACATACATGTACACACATATACATACATATACATACATGTACACACATATACATACATGTACACACTGGAGTTGGACACAATGGAATAAGGTCAAAATTATTCATATGAAGTAATCGTCGCTGAAATGAAAATAATTGACTGACCGTTTGTACCGTGGAGAAAGTCTTTGGTGAAGCCATTATCCAAACCTCTGTCCTGAGATTACAGACATTGGCGCCGCAGACGTTTATATCACGGCCATTTATGACCCATTTTCGTCTCAAATAAATGTAATTTTTTGTGGAGTGAAGGTAATGGCGTTGACTGGAGCGGCGCAGAGCGACAGGAGGACGTTTAAACTGTCCTGATTGTTAATGATCAGGTCGGCCTCGTGCTGCAGATTCTATTTCAGGAGGTTAAAGTGAAACTCTGCAGGAAACACATGATTGAATGATTTGTGGAGAAATAACATTGATATTGAAATGTATTTGTCAGAGTTCTCTCCATCTGCAGAAAATGATGAATTATGAGGTGATAAATACCTGAATGGAGTTTTGATCTTGATCGGACACAGTCTGACTTAAATCCAGATTCTCCAAAAGGATAAATTATTTCAAGAACTGTTGCTTTTTTTCCTCATTCCAAAGAAGACATTTCTGTATCTTTTTAGAACAAAATCATTTTGTTTTGTCCCAGAATCTGTTTAAAGACTCAGAGAAAGACACTTTTTTACAGTGTGTTTGGTTTGTATGTGTAAAGACAGATACAGAAATATGAAAGACATTGAATTCGGAGGAGCACAGGGACTGGCCTCCTGCTGGGACTCTGAGGAGCACAGGGACTGGCCTCCTGCTGGGACTCTGAGGAGCACAGGGACTGGCCTCCTGCTGGGACTCTGAGGAGCACAGGGACTGGCCTCCTGCTGGGACTCTGAGGAGCACAGGGACTGGCCTCCTGCTGGGACTCTGAGGAGCACAGGGACTGGCCTCCTGCTGGGACTCTGAGGAGCACAGGGACTGGCCTCCTGCTGGGACTCTGAGGAGCACAGGGACTGGCCTCCTGCTGGGACTCTGAGGAGCACAGGGACTGGCCTCCTGCTGGGACTCAGAGGAGCACAGGGACTGGCCTCCTGCTGGGACTCTGAGGAGCACAGGGACTGGCCTCCTGCTGGGACTCTGAGGAGCACAGGGACTGGCCTCCTGCTGGGACTCTGAGGAGCACAGGGACTGGCCTCCTGCTGGGACTCTGAGGAGCACAGGGACTGGCCTCCTGCTGAGACTCTCTGAGGAGCACAGGGACTGGCCTCCTGCTGGGACTCTGAGGAGCACAGGGACTGGCCTCCTGCTGGGACTCTGAGGAGCACAGGGACTGGCCTCCTGCTGGGACTCTGAGTAGCACAGGGACTGGCCTCCTGCTGGGACTCTGAGTAGCACAGGGACTGGCCTCCTGCTGGGACTCTGAGGAGCACAGGGACTGGCCTCCTGCTGGGACTCTGAGGAGCACAGGGACTGGCCTCCTGCTGGGACTCTGAGGAGCACAGGGACTGGCCTGGTCCCAGAGTCAGGACTAAAATGCATTGATAAAAACACAAAGCCATTTAGTCCCTTCCAATGGAGACATTTCATTGGTCGATCATAAAAATGAAGCTTAAAGCTGCACTAAGTGACTTTGGGATTTTGAAGCCGTGGACTCGCTGGCCTCTCTCTTTCTGCTCCCCTCCCCGCACCCACGAAGCTATCGCCCCCCCACACACACTCACTGTTGGGACGGAGCTAGCGTCTCCCAATATGGATAATACATGGATATGGATTTGCACGTGGATGGCGTGACCATAGAACGATAGAACCGGGAAGCGCGGAGGAACGAGACTTTCTTTTGGATGGCTGTTTCGCTAAGTAAGCAGTAACCGGTGACGAAGACGAGGAAGCTTCAGGTTAGCTCCGCCGCTTGTTGTGCTAACTTAGCCGTCTGTGCTAACGGACCTGTAGATTTCTCACAAAAGTGGGGGCTAGTGGTCCGCTGTGATTGGTCACAATCTGCGACCCGAAACACATTCTCTTCCTTGTTTCATCAAAACTCGATCTAAAATATAATGTCACGCCAGCACAAATCTGCGCTACTTTTTCTTCAAAAGGACGTATATCCCAATGCACTACATGGACATGGAAAGCATTTTAGTAATTCATACAAAAATAAAGTCAGTTAGTGCAGCTTTAAGCGGAGGTTCAGGATGGTAGACTACCTACGTTATCACACCAGGCTGGACCACGCCTTACTCAGCCTGTCAATCAACTCATCAACTCCCTGTTAGCTGTCAATCAAGCGTTTAAGAGCAAAGCACAGCTCACCAAACGGACTCCTCCTCACTTCCTCCTCACCTCCTCCTCACTTCCTCCTCACCTCCTCCTCACTTCCTCCTCACCTCCTCCTCACTTCCTCCTCACTTCCTCCTCACCTCCTCCTCACTTCCTCCTCACTTCCTCCTCACCTCCTCCTCACTTCCTCCTCACTTCCTCCTCACCTCCTCCTCACTTCCTCCTCACCTCCTCCTCACTTCCTCCTCACCTCCTCCTCACTTCCTCCTCACCTCCTCCTCACTTCCTCCTCACTTCCTCCTCACCTCCTCCTCACTTCCTCCTCACTTCCTCCTCACCTCCTCCTCACTTCCTCCTCACTTCCTCCTCACCTCCTCCTCACTTCCTCCTCACCTCCTCCTCACTTCCTCCTCACTTCCTCCTCACCTCCTCCTCACTTCCTCCTCACTTCCTCCTCACCTCCTCCTCACTTCCTCCTCACTTCCTCCTCACCTCCTCCTCACTTCCTCCTCACTTCCTCCTCACTTCCTCCCCACCTCCGCCTCAGGATTTCTTCGCTCTCACATTCACCTTGCCTTGTTGCCACCACCAGTGTCTAGGCCCCGGGGATCTGCCCCAGGCGCAGATCTCTTCAGAGCCACAGCCGGGGCCACACTCGCAGCAGCGTTGCTAACACTCGCAGCAGCGTTGCTAACACTCGCAGCAGCGTTGCTAACACTCGCAGCAGCGTTGCTAACACTCGCAGCAGCGTTGCTAACACTCGCAGCAGCGTTGCTAACACTCGCAGCAGCGTTGCTAACACTCGCAGCAGCGTCGCTAACACTCGCAGCAGCGTTGCTAACACTCGCAGCAGCGTTGCTAACACTCGGAGCAGCGTCGCTAACACTCGCAGCAGCGTTGCTAACACTCGCAGCAGCGTTGCTAACACTCGCAGCAGCGTTGCTAACACTCGCAGCAGCGTTGCTAACACTCGCAGCAGCGTCGCTAACACTCGCAGCAGCGTTGCTAACACTCGCAGCAGCGTTGCTAACACTCGCAGCAGCGTTGCTAACACTCGCAGCAGCGTTGCTAACACTCGCAGCAGCGTCGCTAACACTCGCAGCAGCGTTGCTAACACTCGCAGCAGCGTTGCTAACACTCGCAGCAGCGTTGCTAACACTCGCAGCAGCGTTGCTAACACTCGCAGCAGCGTTGCTAACACTCGCAGCAGCGTTGCTAACACTCGCAGCAGCGTTGCTAACACTCGCAGCAGCGTTGCTAACACTCGCAGCAGCGTTGCTAACACTCGCAGCAGCGTCGCTAACACTCGCAGCAGCGTTGCTAACACTCGCAGCAGCATGTTTACATGTTCCTGCGGCAATTTTGAAAAAGCCACAGAAGAGGAAAATGATGTCGCATTAGTCTCAGCGTCACTGCGTCTTTAACAGTGTCTAACATGTACAGTCTGTGGGCAGGACCGAGGACGGGACAGAAGGACATGGTTTGGACCTGGGTGGTTCTGTCTCGATGCTAATGTACGGAGCTGTATGGACCTCTCTCTCCTCCTCCCTCCTTCAGGCCCCTTAATTGGCAGAGCACAGGGACTGGTCTCCTGCTGGGACTCTGAGGAGCACAGGGACTGGTCTCCTGCTGGGACTCTGAGGAGCACAGGGACTGGACTCCTGCTGGGACTCTGAGGAGCACAGGGACTGGCCTCCTGCTGGGACTCTGAGGAGCACAGGGACTGGCCTCCTGCTGGGACTCTGAGGAGCACAGGGACTGGCCTCCTGCTGGGACTGAGGAGCACAGGGACTGGCCTCCTGCTGGGACTCTGAGGAGCACAGAACCGAGAGGACAAGAGAGCACTAGCCACTGATTTGAACAGACCGCCATCTTGGATCACCGGGACTTGCTCCATTAGAGGCAGACACCAATGTCCATAAAAGTGTTTGAACGCTGTGAGTCCTGGATCAGCGTCTTTCCTGCATCACCGAGAAACAACTCAGTGGGAGAAAAGTGAGAAACCTCGGGCCCACATTGATCCGCTCTCTCAGATTGGTTCCATGTTTCTTGGCCCACATTCATCTGGCCCACATTCACTGGCCCACATTCACCTGGCCCACATTCACTGGCCCACATTCACATGGCCCACATTCACCTGGCCCACATTCACATGGCCCACATTCACCTGGCCCACATTCACCTGGCCCACATTCACCTGGCCCACATTCACTGGCCCACATTCACATGGCCCACATTCACCTGGCCCACATTCACCTGGCCCACATTCACCTGGCCCACATTCACTGGCCCACATTCACATGGCCCACATTCACCTGGCCCACATTCACCTGGCCCACATTCACTGGCCCACATTCACATGGCCCACATTCACCTGGCCCACATTCACCTGGCCCACATTCAGCTGGTCCACATTCAGATTCAGATTCAGATTCATTTATTGGCCATGTGCAGTATAAAAACTACATTGGAATACATTTGCAAAAAAAGGTACTCTGTGTGCACCGACAGAATAAAAGCACAATACAATGTAATATAAAATACACATACACTGAATATAAAATAATAATAAAAACAGCTGACACTGTGGCACCGATCAACAAAACGATACAAGGGGTAAAAGCAGGAATTAAAATGCTCTGTTTAGGCACCTAACGGCCTGTGGAAAGAAGCTGTTAGCATAGCGAGATGTCTTGCATCTCAGTGACCGATATCTTCTGCCAGAGGGAAGAAGCTGGAACATGGCTTTCCCAGGGTGGCCAGAAGAGTCACCGATGATTTTAAGAGCTTTGTTTAAAAGTCTGGATTTGTAAAGAACCTCCAGAACAGGAAGCTCACAGCCCACGGTCCTCTTTGCAGAGCGGAGCACCTTGTTTAAAGCTCTCTTTTCTTTATCTGTGATGTTTCCAAACCACACAGACACAGAACCAACAAGTAAACTCTCAGTGGTGCAGCGATAAAAATTAAGCAGAATCTTAGAGTTAGTGGTAAATTCTCTAAGTTTCTGCAAAAAGAAGAGCCGCTGACGAGCTTTCTTAACGACTCAGTGTTTTTAACCCATTTCAGGTTAGACAGAGTTAAACCCAGAAACTTGCTCCTCTACGATCTGCACCTGGGAGTTGTCAATAACAACAGGAGTGTGAGAACTGTTACGACTGAAGTCAAAGACAAGTTCACATGTTTTTGCAGTGTTCAGCTGGAGATTGTTTACTTTACTCCACTGAAAAACATGTTCGATCTCTGCTCTATAAGAGGATTCATCAGTGTCACTGATGAGACCGATGATGGTGGTGTCATCAGCATATTTGATGATCAAGTTTGAGTCAGAGGAGGACACACAATCGTGAGTGTACAAAGTAAAAAGCAGAGGACTCAAAATACATCCCTGAGGAGAACCAGTGCTCACAGAAACAACATCAGAAAAACAGTCATTGATTTTTACTCTCTGAGATCTGTCAGTTAAAAAGCTAAAAATCCATTTACACATGGCAACACTTAAACCCAGAGACATGAGCTTTTCAATCAGTTTACCTGGGACAAGACAATTAAAAGCAGAGCTATAATCAATGAACAGCATTCTGGCCACAGATTTACTAGTGTCCAAATGAGTGTAGACAGAGTTCAGAGCAAAGGAGATGGCATCCTCCACACTCCTGTTCTGTCTGTAGCAAACTGGAGCGGGTCAACACTCACAGGGATCTGGCTCTTAATAAACTCCAGCACGAGCCGCTCAAAAGTCTTCATAAGAACAGACGTGAGAGCCACAGGGCGGTAGTCATTGAGACATGTCACTGGAGACTTCTTAGGAACTGGAATAATGGTGGACCTTTTAAAGCTCACCGGCACCGTACAGCTCCTGAGTGACAAGTTAAAGATGTCCGTTAAAACAGGGGCAAGTTGCTCGGAGCACAGTTTCAGGACGCGGGGAGGAATGCAGTCCGGGCCTGCGGCTTTCCGAGCTGTGGTCCTGGACAAGACACGCCTGACTTCCTCCTGAGTCACTGTGAAGGCACCCTGACATTCGGGGAAGACAAAAGGCAGGGGATCAGCAGATTCAAAGCGGCAGTAAAAGTCGTTGAGCTCGTTTGGCAAAGTTTGGCCAGCAGCAATTTTCCCTGCACTTGGTTTCCAGGACGTGATGAGACTGATCCCCTTCCACATGCGTCGGGGGTCCTCTTCCCCAAAGAAGCCCTCTAACCTGTCCCCATAGCAACGCTTAGCAGCTTTTATAGAGCGTTCCACAGCGTAGCAGGACAGCTTGTAAGCACCCTCATCACCGGATTGAAACGCCAGTGTCCGCTCATTCATTCTCACTTTGACATCAGTGTTCATCCAAGGTTTTTGGCCGGAGTGTTCTTTGATAACTTTATAGGGGACACAACAGTCAATGCAAAATTGTATGTATCCTGTCACAGCCTCACAGAATTCATCAACATTCTCAGAGTTAAAAACAGACCAGTCTGTGGCATCAAAGCAGCCCTGCAGCTTCATGTTGGCCTCCTCAGACCAGCACTGCACAGTGCGGGAAGTAGGTTTGTGCTGTTTGTTCCTCTGTGTATAAGAAGGAAGAAGGAGAACAGCGGAGTGATCAGACTTCCCAAAAGCAGGTCTGAGACTGGACCTGTAAGCTGCCTTCACGTTACTATAGCAGTGATCCAGGATGTGAGCTCCCCTGGTAGGCTGACTCACATGCTGATAAAAGTTCGGTAATACAGACTTTAAGTTACATTTATTAAAATCACCACCAACTATAATCACAGCATTGGGGTGAGCAGCTTCATGTTTATGCAAAATGTCACTTAAGTCATTCAGTGCAGCTGTACAGTCAGCCCGAGGATGAATATATACAGCACATAGGAAAATCACTGAGAATTCTCGGGGAAGATAGAACGGGCGGTATCTCAAAACCAGACACTCCAGGTTAGCAGAGCATGTTTTGTTAACAATAAAACTGTCAGTGCACCAGCGCTGGTTAATTAAAAAACACACACCTCCACCTTTCGATTTCCCCGTGCTCTCCTTCTCTCTGTCCGAGCGGAAAATGGCGAATCCCGGCGGCTGAACAGCTGAGTCCGGGATATTGGGATGCAGCCACGTCTCGCTGAGGCAGTACACTGCGCAGTCCCGAGCCTCGCGCTGGTACTGGATTCGGCTCAGGAGATCATCCGACTTGTTCGGGAGAGACTGAACGTTCGCCAGGTAAATGGGTGGCAGTGGGACCCTGGGGGCGCGACTCCGCACGAGAAGCCCGCCACGCTTTCCCCGGTGTCTGCGCTTCCTCCGTCGGCGAGAGACACCCGGCTCCGCACGGCGGTGAACACGGGGGAGGCGCCCGGCCTCATCGCCCTGTTCCCAGTCTCTGTCGCGGTCTGCACGCCGCTCTCCACGAGCTGGACACTCGTCAAAGCCCTCACACCTAAGAGCAGGCGACACTGACTCACAAGCCAAGTCCCGTAAGTCCAGGAGAGTCTGTCGATCATATACCACAGTGGCAAGTGTTTTGTGAAAGGATAAAAACAGTGAAAGGATAAAAACAATCACGGTGCACAACGGAGCTCTTGCAGCGGCGCCCTGGCACGGCGCCATCTTGGATAGGACTGGATAGGACTTCAACTGGCCCACATTCACCTGGTCCACATTCACATGGCCCACATTCACCTGGCCCACATTCACCTGGCCCACATTCACCTGGCCCACATTCACCTGGCCCACATTCACCTGGTCCACATTCAACTGGCCCACATTCACCTGGTCCACATTCACATGGCCCACATTCACCTGGTCCACATTCACCTGGTCCACATTCAACTGGCCAACATTCACCTGGCCCACATTCACTGGCCCACATTCACCTGGCCCACATTCACTGGCCCACATTCACCTGGCCCACATTCACTGGCCCACATTCATCTGGTCCACATTCACCTGGTCCACATTCACCTGGCCCACATTCACTGGCCCACATTCACCTGGCCCACATTCACTGGCCCACATTCACTGGCCCACATTCACCTGGCCCACATTCACCTGGCCCACATTCACCTGGTCCACATTCACCTGGCCCACATTCACCTGGCCCACATTCACTGGCCCACATTCACCTGGCCGACATTCACCTGGCCCACATTCACCTGGCCCACATTCACCTGGCCCACATTCACTGGCCCACATTCACCTGGCCCACATTCACCTGGCCAACATTCACCTGGCCCACATTCACCTGGTCCACATTCACCTGGCCACATTCACCTGGCCCACATTCACCTGGCCCACATTCACCTGGTCCACATTCACCTGGTCCACATTCACCTGGCCCACATTCACCTGGCCCACATTCACCTGGTCCACATTCACCTGGCCAGTCCACATTCACCTGGCCCACATTCACCTGGTCCACATTCACCTGGTCCACATTCACCTGGCCCACATTCAACTGGCCAACATTCACCTGGCCCACATTCACCTGGCCCACATTCACCTGGTCCACATTCACCTGGTCCACATTCACCTGGTCCACATTCACCTGGTCCACATTCACCTGGCCCACATTCACCTGGTCCACATTC